TTCTCACCACCCAGCCTCCACACTGTCCTGGTTTCTGAATGCCAAATGAAGCAGTAAAACACGTTGATCTTGGCTCTTACCTTCTTTTCAATATCAACAATCTCTTTCTGACTCCTCACCTCCCCTGTCTCCTGCTTTCCTCTCACATTGTTAACACTGATGGGAAAATCCTCTCCTAAATGTCACACACAGGGAGTTCTTTGTAGGTTCTTAGAAAACAGTAGGTTTTATTGATATTTATGTTAGCTCAAAGTTATTTTGTACTTGGGCTAAAGAGTCTGTACTCCTTCACCCAACAATAGTTGCATTACAATAGAATAATAAGCATGGATGTACATGAATTTATTACATAACCTAAACACTGAAATTGGTGGTTTGCTAAAAGAAATGTTTAAAATGTGTTTTATTTTTATTTTCTCCTTACAGTTTTCTTGTTTCCCCCCTCTAATTGTGTGAATTACACAATGCTAATGTTGTCATTTACTTGATGTAGTGCTGATTTGTTTAAATTGCATTTGGAAATTACATGTTATCAATATCTTACATTTTAGATGCTTTGTTTAGTTTCTGGAGGCAAAACAATTTTTTGTTTTAAACTGACACCCTAAATTTAGGCCATTTGTTTTGAATTACAAAACGTGGATCCATGTTTTTTACATGAATCAGATTCTAACCAGGTGCATTTGAACCGTTGCTGTGTTGCTTCAAACACCAAAACGTTGTGGATGGATGACATTTCGTTTTTAATAATAAATTGTGAAACATATTTATTATTAAAAACGATATTTCATCCAAAAACTCCTACACCTACTACTCATCTCGCATCAGTAATCCATGTGAGAAGCTTTCTGGATTGCACTGGGCATGAAAGTCATTTTCTGTCAGCTTGCTACTCAATACAAGTCTCATTTAATCTCCTCACATGAACTGCAGCACATATTGCTCATCCAGTCGGTTCCCTGCCGGGTGATACTGAATATCTGTCTCGCCTGGGGTCAGATGTTGTTATACCAAGAGGGAGCACTAGTGCAGAACCAGAGAAGTGGAGAATTACATCTCATCACCAGCAGAACCTGAGGCTACAGAGTCTCCTATAACCACTGCTGTCTCGTGTTTTTTGCTGGAAATGTTCACACTACAGGTCTCAGATACAGTGTGTAGCTCACCTCTCTATCTCACCCTGCTCCATGCAGCATGCATCTTATACTGGTGTTGAGTCATAGACTGACACTGGACTTATTCACCATCAGCAGCTCAAACTGTGCAAATCAGCATTCATATCTTTATTATTATGTATACACCACTGCATATATTTGTAATATATGCATTTCAAAATATGTATTGTTGTTATATTGTACATGCACGTTTTACGCAATAAACCGTATTTTATTTTGTCTTAATTTACATTATTTTATTTCATATTCTATTTACATGTATATAGACTTTTTGCACTACTTTTTATTTTGTATCTTGTATTTTTGTATTTTATTATATATGCTGGATTGTTGGAGGAGCTCAGGTCATAAGATGTTCATTGCCATTTCTACACTGTAGCCTGTGCATATGACAATAAAAACCTTTGAATCTTTATTGTAAATATTTTGTATATCATTTTATTTCAATTAATCTATTATTGCACATTTTTACCATAACTTTTTACGGTCATAAACAGAATTATTTTATTCTATTTCATTTTGTATTCCACATTTTGATTTAAATTATGTTTATTAATTATTTATTTTATTTACAGAGCAACTGTGATGAAACCCTTAGATAAATAAAGTATTGTGATTATCTGGGCACTGTAATTTAAACATAGCAAATCTCAAAATCCTCAATGCAGATATTATCTTCCTGGTGGGGCACACAGCCAGTCAAATATTGACAAAGTTGGAGTGTTGAATAGATGTGACCTCTCACAGTGGAAAAAACTCTGTTAGCTTCACTGTTAAAGGTGAGGTGCTAATAGGAAATCATAGTGTTCTCCTAAAAAAGAAAACCGTAACTTCTGCTTTAGCATGCACAATATCACGGAATAAATTACATTTCAAATTAAAACTTTTATAATAAATAAATGAAAATATTTCACTAAATATGCGTTTTAAAAACATCTGCTAATTGCAGTTTCCGGTGGCTAGCTAACATGACAGAATGTTTTGTTTTTGTTTGACCTACCTGCGCACGTGCCAGTTGGAGCAAAATAACCGATAAAAGGTGCGACACTCCGAGAAAACTTTGCATAATGTCAAGACAAGTTGCCTCCTCTCGTCTTCAGTCGCTCACAAAGAACTTTAAAATGGGCAAAAAGAAGCGGCTGTGGTTCTTCGTCAAACCCTTAAATACATACAGCTCAGCTGATTATCAATAGGAAATAGAAGCTCTCTCGCGCGCTCGGTCTTCCTTCCCTTTCTCCCTCTGTACCTCTTTCACTCTTTCACTCTCTCACTTTCTCTCTGTCTCTCTCTCACACATACAAACACACACACACACAAACACACACACACACACACACACACACACACACACACACACACACACACACACACACGTAATAAATAGACAATAATTATATATAATCATCATATTAAGCAATTTACCAGCCAAAACATAAACATGTTGTAGGATTTCACAGACACCCATTAGTTTATTCTAATGCTATATTAAATTCTATCAGCAAATTCTATCAGTAAAAGTGGACTAAGTTTGCATTATATTCTTTCTCAAAGTTGTATTTCTTAGTGAGGAAACAGACTTTTCAAATCAATCTGCATTACAGACCATAATTTAACACTGAGAAAATCAAGTGAAGGCTTAATGTTCAATCTGATGTAATGGCTAATGATGAAAAGTAATCATCATGGAGATACTATACGTGCTTCTCACAGGGCAGCAACATGATGAAACTGTAGGTTGCAAAGAGCAGTAACATCAAATACATAACAGAATATAAAATGTTGCAACAAGCATAAAAATGAGTTGTATACAAGTGTCTTTTTAAAACTCCTACTAGCTCCCTGTATCTCTGTGCTACCTGCCAACACAGCAGCTCGGGACCTGCTTCTGATCTGGTTTGTAGTTTTATCAATTCTTCTTCTGCCTTGTTTATGCATTGAACTCTCACAGTGTTGCCTGTTTAGTCTCGGCACAGACGCAGCAGACCTGAGGTTATCAACATTGATGCTGTGAGGAAGAGCAGAATGTTTATGCCCTGTCCTGTGTTTACTGCAGATAACATATTTGTTATCATCAGTTTATATCTGCTGTGAGTGCTCCAAACAACTGCTGTGTAAATGTAACCTTCCTGTTATACAATACCTGGCTTCTTGTGGTTTCGAAAGCTCCTGATTATTTTCACAAAATGACTTAAGAGGTGCCTTGTTTGTTTTTTCTGCAGGGCGCAAATTACAAGCACAGCGGTGCCTGGACATTTATTAGAAAGAGCTCAGGTGTGTTTTCACAGCCAGTGTGATTTACGGGATAATTGGTCTGGTGTTTGTTGAGAATAGCCTCTGTGGAGGAGATAACGAAGATGGATGACGCCTTTCCTCTCTCCTCATCTTCCTCTCCCTCCTCCCAGGCTGTGATGGTGTGATGCTCATGTTGGAAAATCCATGTTTATGCCACCTTCTATAAGATATACAATTCATTTTGGAACTAAATATTCTGCAAAACAGGTTTAAGAAGTCTTAATTCCCAAATATTTCACAACAATCTCCTAAGCCAGCACGGTAACACATAAAACAATCAATAACGTCATGATTTCATCTTGAAAACTATAAACACTGTGAATATCGTGGCAGATTTGGGTGTGTGAAATGTTTTTGATTTCCTAGTCTTGCAAAAAATAAATGCTTGTCAACACTCCTTTTAGGCAGGGCTCGCCCACTTTCCGGGGGACTTTCCCCTCCTCTCAGACTCCCAGTCTGCTAGCCAGAGGTCAGACGGACAGCTGCTGCTTCCTGTCTCTGGGAACCGCACTGATGCTCCAGTCCCACTCCCCATTGAGGGAGGATGGGGTTTCCCTCAGGAGGAGCAGATGCAGCAGGTGGGACTGAACATGGTAGCTCGCACATTAGCTTACATCTACAGGTAGGCACCAAATCCTATAATATCAACGATCATATGAGTAACACAGCTCACATTTATCTCTCCAATATATGGGGATGAAGGATGCATCTGTTTTTGATCCTTCACAAATATAAAACTAATTTAAACATGAAGCCACAATTATTCACCAACAAATCACAGTAAAGGAAGAAGTAACATCAATAGATGCTGGTTGTTTGACCTTCAGTGATGTAAGTGAAGAAGACAGAACAGACAGACCTCCACCTTGTTTTTGTGTTCTCCGCCGCTCCGCCTTTATGACCATTTTTTTTATTCCTAGAATTCAAACTCTTTTCTGATTTCCCACACTTTCTGTCAGTCTTGGGCTCAAGGTGCATTGTGGGTAATGCTACTGGTTCCCAAGCCCAAAGTGACCAGACGGACCAACTCTAAGTGATGAATGTGACCCGAAGGGCAAACAGATGCAACTCCATTCTGGGATGCACACACACACAATAACAGTGTGTTTGGGGATTTCTTGAATAAGTTTAGCAGAAGCATTTTGATACAACTTGGTACATGTAGAGTAGAACAGGAACAAATTACACAAAGTAACATAACAAAAGAAATCTTGAAGTGAATGTCACAATAATTGCAAAAATAAAAGAGAGATGTTTTACAGAATTACAGAAGACTTAAAGAGGCCCCATTATGCTTTTTGGGGTTTTCCCTTGTAATGTGTTATATGGGTTTGGTGCATGTAAATGGTCTGCAAGGCTAACATCCCATAGGGTGGTATCTCCGGACTGTTTCAACACTATTGACATAGGAATATCTTCACACAACAATAGCTTACTGGTCAGCTGTTTGTCTAAAACATATTGGAGCTTCAATTTGTTTGAAATCGAACATACGCTATTCTCGGATGATAAAGAGGACAAAAACAAGTCTGATTGAGTTCTGAATATTTATTTGCTGTAATAGTTGGTTTTAAAGGTGACAGAGCAAAATGGCGTTGTTTGGAGAATGCTTTGAAACTTGTAAACAACAACTACGTTCGACACACCCACAGTTGATTTCAATAATTCAGGTCAGTGTGGATGACATTGACCCTACACTACCATGTGTTAACTCTTTATTGTGAAAAGCCGTTAATAGCTGGAATAACTAAAAACACCTGTGTAGGGCCTTTATTGAGTTCAACAACCACTTTATACTTCAATATAATAAATAAGTGAAACTTTTTGGGGGAAACTTTAACATTACCGTCAAAACAAACTTTGTCAAACATCATGCTGGGAACGTACGCTTTTCTCAGCAATCATTTTTTAAAGACTAAAGCTCTGTTTCATAATCATCTGAAACATTTCTGCTGAACAGATAAACGTGTTTTTCAGTTTAATTGCCAACTGAATCCAGAACAAAGTGGAATGAGAGGGAGACAGGTTCAGCGTCTTGCTCATTGAGACTTCAAATGAAACCAAAAACATGCCTGCTTGTAACACAGGAGTTTTTTTTTTATTCTAACACTGTGTCTTCTTTCATATATCTCAACTTGTTTTCTTTCTGGTCAGGTCAGAAAGCAGCTCATCACACAACAGTATGTGTAACTACTAGACATTTAATAAGCTAGAGCTGTTTGTGTTGAGATGTCAAATTGAAGATAAAAGGAGTAAAGGAGAGTACATTATTAGAGTTACAGCACATTCTACTTCTCTGTGGAGAAGGCTCTCTTCATAAGTGGAGGAGGGGTCTTCCCCGCTTCGTAGAGAGACTCGGGGGGAGGGGAGCTCAGGCAGCACCAGTCTGGGATGCGGCCCGTCTGGTTGTAGTAGTCTCGAGACACCGACCTGCTGCCCAGCACGTCCTGCAGCGCTCCAAAGATAGCACCTGGGGAGCAGAGACAGCGTGAATACACAGCGGGGGGCCACTAATAAATGTTTTGCAAATATTCTCAAAAAGGCCGAGATAAATGCTGGTTCAGTATGCTGATGCTGGAGGGTTTTTTCCAATATTAGAAGTTCAACCTCCTTTCCGAATATTATGTTATTAGCTCAAATACAGACACTTTTGTCCGCATTGAAAGCCATTAAAACCATTTTAATCCCACAGATATTACAGCATGCAATCCCGCATTCTATACAGTTTACAATCTAGAGTCTTGGCTTCAAAATTGTACTTTTTTTTGTTTTCCACCAGCTTGAACGTACATTTTCCTGGTTCCTTGCACAAAAAACATTTGAAAAAAAGGCCTAAAAATCACAGACTAAAAATGTTTTCGTATACAGAAAATGATTCTGTTATTAGGTGTTTTTTGTTTTCAGATAATCAGGACCTTGCCTTAAAGGGGACCTATCATGCAAAATGCACTTTTGTACGTCTTTTATACATGAATATGTGTCCCCGGTGTTCCAGGGAACTCACCAAGTGTCAGAAAACACAACCCTCTCTATTTTCCTCCATACCCAAATCTCTAAAAAAGGGGCTGCAACGGATCTGATAAAAACTGATCCAGATTTGAACACTTCACTGACGTCAGTAAAGTGGCGCTACGGCTATTGGGCCAACTCTCCACCTATCAGGGGAATGTGGGGTTGGGCCACGGCCGGCCATTGCCGCTCGAAAGCGCTGGAGACGCTGTAGTACATATGCCAGGCCTGTAAGTGGCGCTGTAGTCTGCCACAAAAGCAGCGAAGAAGACTTCCCGTGCATGGTTACCATGGTTACCCTTCTGTTTATTCTCTGCTGTGGCTTTTTTTCTCCCTCCCCGAGGCAAGCGTTTGCTCCTGCTGCTGTAATTCAATGCAATCCCTCCCCGTCGAGGCAAGCACTGTAATTCTCTCCGGTTAGTCCACCAGCAGATGACAAACACCCACCTCTCCGCCTCTTCCAAGGAACGAGGGGACCGTGCGGCAGAGTTTCAGTTAGGTTTTCTTTCGCCGGTCAAGATGTCCGTTAAAGTTTAAATCTTCCGGACAAAATTAGAAAAGTGCCGGTCAAAGGTCTTCTTTGTTATTTATTGAGCTTTAAAACAAATGAATAACAATTCTATAGGCCTATAATAATATAATAAAACACGGAGGACGGAGATCTTTTTTTCTCCCCCTCTTCTGACTTCATCAGAGCACGGATCCCCTCTCCTGCAGGGGGGCTAAATGCATGATCTGTTTGGTATTTTGAAAACAGAAACGTATAAATATACCTTATATAGGTATGGCCCTACAATATATCATTTAAATATAGCATGATAGGTCCACTTTAAGTATTTAACCTGATGCAATATTACTTATTTTATATATTTAGTTATTATTTTGGACACAGACATTTTTCTCCTCTAAGGATGACAGAGCAGGGGGGCACAAGGGTTATAAAGTCTAATTTCTGACCGCCGAGCCAGGCGGTGCAGTTGGGTTTCGCAGGTGGAGCGTGTATCCGCAGGCTCTTGCTGGCCAGCACCGTGCTGTACTTGGGTTTCTCCACCAGGAGGCGTATCTCCGCCAGCAGACGGTGCAGGAAGCCCGGCAGCATGGCCGTGCCTCCGATCACCACCAGGTTCTCCGAGAGCACCTTACGCGTGTCTATGGGGCACTGCAGGGGAACACGTGCACACATAACCAAATTAGATTTACATGTTGTTACATGACAGATTGGAGGGGGATATTATCTTGCATTATAGCAGCTCCATTTGAACAAATATAAACAACAAGATACATGGGAAAAGTATTACATTATTAAAGATTTGATGGTAACAATTCATATTGGCTCTTCAGGACGGAGAATGTTGTTGGCAAGCCTCAATAAGTTATGTTGTTATGGTAGGCGGATTCATAGAGTTTTATAGAGAGTTGTTGATGTTGGGGGCAGATTTACATTTTGTGGAGCAGTTTGACTCTAAAGTGGTGAACAAACACTCGTGAAATGTTGTTTTGTGATTCTGTAGAATGTAAAGAAAACAAAAGAAGCTTTTGTCTACTGGCCCCAGAAGGCCTGAGGCGGTGCAGCAGGAGAACAGCTGAGGCAGGAGGAAGCAGCAGATTTACTGCAGGACAGCACTTTCTGCTTCCAGGTGCAGACTAAACCAAAAGGTGAAGGATGAAAGTAGCTGAAGCGGACATTTACATTACTGCAGTGACTTCTCTGGCGTGTGGAGCCCCCACTGATTTAATCCTGAGCACAGATCGGGATTTAAAGTTTAAATCTGAGGCTGTGTAATTTATTCGCTGTACCCCACTGAGATTAAATCAGGCGGTCCGGGGCAGACTTGATCCCCACAAAATGGCTCTCTGTTTCGTGGAATAGCTGTATTTGTACGTCGCCACTGCAACCACACTGAGTACAACTGTACATTTAATTCCTCTGCGGTGCACTCGGAGGACCAAACTAGGTTGCTGCATACCTCCTGCTGAGTATACTGAAGGTTATAGCAGTGGAATTACAGAGAAACTACTTTAAACTGCTATTCACCACATGGGAAGATGAGGTGAAGCATAATACAATACAAGTAACTCCAGGCATGTCAGAAAAGAAGGTGAAGAAGGCGATGTAGGATTATTCGGTATATTTCAGCAAGATATTCCATGCTTTAATGTTCAAAAAGCTCTTTTTCTCATACTGCCTGTGCTGCAGCACCTCTTCACCCTCTGTCTGAGACCAGAGCCCAGTCTGCTCTGATTGGTTAGCTGGCCGGCTCTGTTGTTATTGTTCAACTGCTTAGAGATGTCCCGCCCCTTAGCCTATCACGTACAATGTGTTGGAGCGCAAGCCAATAGAAGCGCAAGTGTTGCATAGTGATGTCACTATGTTACAGAGGGAAACAAAGGAGTCCAATCGAGGCGTTTCAGGCAGGGGGGGGGACTTTAAAAGAAGTAGTATTCTAGCGCAGACAGACACAATAGACCCTCTGATTAAAAACTACAAGCTTCAAACACTCCAATGTCATAATACGGACTTGTTCCCTATCATGGTACTGCCTCTGCTGGTATGTTTTAAATCGTTCACAGTTGTTTATGTACATTTTTCACAAGTAAGTGACTGCTTATAATCATAACATCTTGCTCTCAAAATGCTAGGAAATAATACCTTGACCAGGGCATCAAGTATCAGAGTGGCCACGCTCTTCTCCTCATTGTCCTGTTCAAACAGGATCTCCATCAGAGAGTCCCTGGAGAAAAGACGAAATGAAACATGATGAGGGACATCTTTATGATCAGAAATGTAAAGACACCGTGAACACAACAAGCTGGTTATAGAGAATCGTTTCAGGCCACAGATGGAAGGTACAGGAAAGAGATAGAAAGAGACTCCAGTAAGACTAACTAACTCTCTTGTATTTTATTGTAAGCTATGACACTATTTATTACATTTGGGAATGCAATAGAACAATTATCGATTTTAAATATTGTTGACCAATAATCTAATTAAATATGCTATGCATTTAGTTAAAACCTGTGTGTTTACGTTGTCTTAGACGGGCCCTTTTCATCAGTGCCTATGCATGGTTTAAAGGTGGGGTAGGTAAGTTTGAGAAACCGGCTCGAGATACACTTTTTGTTATATTCCATGGAATGCTCTTAACATCCCGATAGCAATGAATATCTTAAGTGCTTTGACAAAAAATCCATAAAAAAAAGTCATCTGTGGAAGCCGTAATACTGTAAAAAGCACGACCAATCATTTTAGCCGGCCCGGCTAAAATAACTGGATGGCCTACCTGCCTGTCAGCCTTCCATCTGTGCACAAACTTATCTCGTGCCCTCATTGGTCATGTGCGCGTTCGTGTGTGTTGGAGGAGGGGCTCTGTAAGGAAGTGGCAGATTTTCTCCGGTTGTGTATTTTCAAATTCTAGCGCACTCGAGCTGGTTTCTCCAAAATTACCTACCCTACCTTTAAGGCAGTTTTAAATATTAAAATATATTTGCATCGTACAAACAAATATAGGTCAGAAAATGTCCACGTGTCCCGGATAATGTGCGTAAAAGAAAAGATTAGTCCGTAAATCCAAAACGTCTGTTAATAAGGCCCATTAAGACCAGTACATCTAATTTTACAGAAAGACCTTCTACCATGAAAAAGTGAAACGTTACTTATATAATAATACGAAACATATGCAAATATTGTAAGACATTGTAAAATAAATTAAGGTTTATCTCAGTTAAGGACAAATGGAAAAAGCATCATTTGTTGAAGTACCTGATGGATCCTTTGACGTGCAAGATTTTCTCCCCATCCAGAGGATAATCAACATCTGGAGGATGGGCTGGACGCTACAAACGAAAAAAAAGAATTGTAAACAAATCTACAACAATGCATTATTAAATACAAGCTTTTGTACAGACTGAGGATATCTAAGGTTAGTGGTATAAAACCCAGAATAGTAAACACATGACTCACTTCGGCTGTACCGTCCAGGTTAAATTTGGCTTCCTGGATCTTCAGGCCTCTCTGCAGGTCACTGACAAAACATGTTCTGACTGCAGGAAACAAAACAAAATCAATAAGCAGACATAACATCTAAAACATGTAAACATATATTACTAAGGATGAGCAGTATCCTTAATGACTCTAGGCAATGTTAACAACCAGTAATATATTTAACATTTACAAGATGCATATTCGAAGAAAGCTTTAGTTACATAATTCAAATGGGTTATTACTGTTACAAATGTGCATCATTATATAACACGCATCAGTATTCCAGTGACCGGATGGTAATGAAAGAAGCAGCCACGTTTTCTTTTGGGAATGCTGCCTTTGAAGGCAATAATTAAAATCTCAATCCATTACTCTTGCGGGTTTTAAATGGGAAAGAAAGAAAAAAACTCCATCAACCCTACCCTTGATATCCTCCACAGTCTCCTCTGAGATGCTCCCTGAAAGAAAGATGAAAAAGATGTATAAATGAAGGGAAACTGAATCATTTTCTAGTTTTGATTATTCACAAATCAGCCATTTCTCAGAATTCACTTTAGAGGGTGAATTTGTGAGCTGACACTGCAGCAAAGGACAAGTATCTTAAAACAACAACTATGACAGAGACAATAGAAGAAACTATGTATGGACTATAGTTTAATTTCTCTCTTTAAATCATCCCCAAGGTGGATTACAGAGATGTCAGCCCTCAGCCGTATGCAGCAGAAATGTATTTGGTTCAGCAGTCCAGAAAAGTGAGTCAGCCCGCTGTCTGTCTTAATTATTGATGCATATGAGTAGCTTCTCTCCCTCTGCTGCAGATCTCACAGCTTAACATGACAATTCAGTTTTACCAGACAACTCTAAAATAGACTATATGCATATGTATAATTCACCAATTGAGCAAGATAAATCACTAAAATATCACATAGAAACATGTTCTACTTATTTATAGTAAATGATGCATAATGGGAGAAAGCCATTATATTTTTCTGCAGTTTAACACATTAGCAGTCTGTATCAGAGTACCATGTTTATTCATTTATAAAGGCATACAGTGGATGGCATTTCTCTGTGATTACCAATAGCAACTGGAACACTCTGCCCAGTGGTGGTGTCTGTGTCCACAGTGCACTGCTCCACAAGAAGACCCTCTAATTCTCTGAAATAGAAACAGACACATGCAGTTATGGGAAACGCATCTAAAAGAAAAGGTTACATCTCACAGCCAATGGATTTTTAATCATAAAATATAGTCTCACACTCTTCTGAAATCTGTTGGAGCTACTTACTTATGAATGGCTTTCCCTCCCAAAGGCAAAGCCTCCCAGGCTGGCAGAATAGGAGTGCACTCGTAAATCTGAGTTTACAGTTAAGGTGGAAACATATAAGGCTAGTAGGTGGCTAATGGCTTCCTTTCCATCCATTCTAGGAGGCTAAACATGTCCTGGATATCCCTCACCAAGGAGCTAACAGAGATCCTAATTCCTATTAAAAAAAAAAATGCAATTCCTAAACAATTGCAGTATTCATTTAAAAGACTCCAAAATGACAGGCAAAGGATACAGGTAGCACCAGTGTCTCCGTGTGGCCACAGTCCATCACCAGAGCAGAGTTGATGCCCAGAGTCATGACGGCCATGAGGTGACTTGGAGCAAACACCACAGAGGGCACCTGGAGAACACCAGCCAAGAATAACAGTTAAAGGGGACATGTCATGAAACGGTTACTCTTTCATTCCTTGTGATCATACGGCTGGGAATCTGAAGAGGCTAAAAACAGTTAAAGAGGACAACTCAGTCTTTTTTTTAGGTCAGAAAACATCGGATTTAGCAAGCCATTCAAATGTGTCCCCCTTTCCCTTTGTCACATGCAGTCTCATTAGAAAACCGCCGCCATTCGATTATCTCCACCAATGGCTTTAGAACCTTTGCAAAGGTCATATTGTATTTGCTAGCTATTCAGAGTAGACTTTAGAGAGGGATCCCTTAAAGAGTTCTAAATAAGAACATTTCAGACGGAGGGAGGTGAGTACAGTACATTCTGACAGACAGAACGAGAACAAAACTTTAAACTTGTAGGAAGTAGGAACACAAAATGAAGTATGGACCTGAAAATGAAATATCACCTTTAACACACAGACAATACACAATGTATCTAACATGTGTGATCAGAGTTGTTGTAATAGGTGTGTTCCTACAGGACTTGTCACCATTAGTAAACCTTTGAAATTGATGTGGAAATTTGATTTTGGGACACTAAATAACGAAATAGACTTTTCTTTTAACCTTCTATGAAACACTGATCAGCTTTATTTCCATACCTCAAACTGTTTGAAGAAAACTTTTGTGAGCGTCTCCCTGAAGTGAGACGGGCAGAGGATGGACTCGATGATGACCACTCTTCTGTCGCGAGGGTTTACTAGCAGGTGCCTGACGAGACAAATAGAAACACAAACTTTTATTTAGTGAGACTGGACCAATATTTCTTTCAGCCAAAAGCGGAATATGTTCTGTATAAAATGATGTGTTAAAAAGAATCACTGATGTAGCAGAGTCTCACCTGAAGTACAGTAAATGGATGAACTCTTTGAGAATGACATAAAGCTCCTCTGTGTTGATGTTGTACTGAACCACTTTGATGGCCTGCAATTGAGAGAAAAATGACCACCTGTTTGGCAATTTTCAAACATGCTTTCTAAAGTTTCACTTTCACAGCGGTGTCTCACCTGCTGCTGTCCTGGTTTCCGGATCTCGCTCGGAATTATGAACCTGGGCCCCGTTTCCCCTGCAAAGCCGCATCTGCAAGGAGAGGAAAACTATCAGCCAGGCTTCTGAATGACGTGCAGAGAATATTATAATTTATATAAAATAATATATAATTAATATAATATAATATAACTAGCAAGATTAATGCAATCAGTCATATCCTTATCCAGGCTCAGACTGAAGAGTTCCATTGCCCACAACCACAGTGTAGCTTATGTGCAGATACAAATAAACCCTTTGAATCTTGAATACAATTAAAGTGAGGCTCTGTGTGAAATTATGACAGAAAGAAATGTACTGTGTACAAAGACATGATTATGAAAAGTGTAGAAAACAGCCCTCTTGATCTTCATGTGACTTGCCTCAGGCCGGTTTTTCTTCTTTATGACACATTTGCTTTAAAATTCTAGCAAGATGTTAGCATTAAAGCCATATACACTGCTAGTGTAACATATAATGATAGGCTAAGTGACTTTTAACATCAGACAGCTATCAGATTACCAAGTGCTTTAAAAGTAATGTAGGTCACTCAAAGAACTGTCAACAAGGGGCCGTGTTTTCACCTCACATTGGAAAAATGACAGGACCTTTGTCTGGTCTGAATTCTGGTCTAAATGTCCGAAAATTACATTAAATAATATTCGAAAATGAACGTTAGGGTGGGACAATCCTTTCATGTTGCACCGAGCTGTCTATAATGCAACTGTCGTTCAGTACAGTTGTCTTTGTTTACTTATTGGATTTTATCTTAGCTTTAATTTGGCATTAGCTAACGCTAGCTAAACACTGACATGTCTAGTAAGCATTAGCTTTCAAGCTAATGCTACAGCATGTACTACAGCATGGTTAGTTTGTGTGTGAGGTGCATTGGCCATTAGTGCCGATACACAATAAAAAAAAGTAAGGTAAGAAATACAAATATATACGCTAGCATAATATGCTATTGGCTCTGTTAACAAGGGGTGCTAACGGCTGATACTCACTTTGTGTATGCTGCTCCTAAGTCAATGACGATGGCAGTCTTCTCTCCTCCGCTTCCCAAACCATCAAATAAGGGCATTTTATTAATTTAATGAATAATGTCAGTGCTCAGATGTTACAGTCGAAAATTAGCATCGTATGAAAAGGATGAAAAATCTGTTGTCTTCCGGTTGGGCTGGGTTGGGTCTTAACAAACACGATGACGTCACCTGGATTGCCTGATCAAAATGTGCTCAAAGTGAGGTTGATGAAAACTTTGTATTCAACTATTACATGACAAATGAGTACGTCATAAGCAGCAACATACAAAAAAGGGAACAAACGTTAGAAATAGCCTTCAGACAAGTTCAGGGTGTATTTGATATTAGCTTACAACATTGTAATATTTGTATGTAGGCCTAATGCAGAAGCAATCCTGTAAATGTGGATTATTTAACATGATTATTGTTTATCGTCAGATAAGAGCTGTTATTAATCTAATGTATGCATGAATATTATTTAAAAAAAAAATGAATTTATTGTAGCAAAGGTGACTGCACATCAGTCAAACAATCAGTTCATTGAAATAAAATGATATTATGATTACACAACAACAACATTAAATGCTTTACATAAATTGCAAATATATTATAATAACAATTAACAACATTTATACGTCTGAGAGTCTTTATATATTCTTTAAATTCACATAAAAAAAAGTTAATTATTTGGGGAGACTTTTGTTATTTAGCGTTTATAGCATAATTATTAGTTAACAATATTTCCAATGCTATGGCTATGGTGCTCACGAATAAATGCGTTAAATATTCTGGGTCATCATTGTAAAAATAACGTTCATTTTCAACATCTTCAAATTTAGCAAGATATATTATATTGGTTGTATATTGTTTAAAATACACAGAATAAGAAACGGACAGTTCTCTTCCTCTGGTCTCCACTGCTCTCTGTTTACAACGACCTTTGACTTTAATTTAAGGTTAGGGAGCTGTCCGTTCAGCACCATCAGGCTCTTCATATGACCTTTTTTTGGAAGAAAACATAAACTTCTGATTATCGAGGAATAGATGCATTCAATGCAATTAGCTCGTTTATCATAAAACAGACGCCACAGCTGCCACTTTAGGTGAATCCTGCAGATCTGAAGCATTTGGTGGCAGCACTTCAGAAGCAGGAGGACATAACGAAGAGAAGACTGAGACTTTCAGTCAGTGACGCCGAGCTGCTCAACAACAAGCCTCTCAATCCACCCTCACTATCCTGAATCTGTGTCCGTGCGAACTGCATTATTTCCTGCAAACTGCAAGACAAACTCCTACAGGCACCGCGAGCCGTCATGAACTCTGGAAGGTATTTATTTTTAGCCTTACGCGACTTTAATGTGCATTCTCTCGCATTGCCTCAAAATGACGCGATTTAAAGGAATGCATGCATGTTAGCTCCGGTGATTCAACAGCGCAGTGTGAATCTGTTTATACTCTCGCTATATGTGCACTGCATGAGCTATTAAACGGTATTGATCACAGGGGAGGTGCGCATGCAGAACAGTGGGTTGCATTTTTGGACAGTGCATCATCAGGGCTCGGATGATTGTTTGTGTTTCTCCGGCAACATGAAAGGGTGTCACCCTGTGAACACCAGACGTGTCGTGTATTTCTCTACAGCAAGCAGGGATTGATTATTGGGTGATAATTGCTGCCTCGTCATGTGAAGCAACACATGCTCCAGCTGTTAGCCGTTTTAAAATCCAATGTGCATATATCCTGCAAACATAGAGGTCTGTTTAATGGATCCTTCTGTAGAGGATCTTAGAAAACCTGGTGCTATTTATAGGTGAAATGCAGGGGGGTGCTAAGGATTGCTGTGTCAGACTCTCTCTATTTGTCACCCTCCACCTGTGAGTGTAGCATTTCCTTCTGTTTACACAAAGTGAGCAGAAGAGTCTGAGATGAAAAGGAATTTCATCCAAATTATTCCAAAACGGTGCAGCATCAAAGCAAAGGCTGACAGTTAATCCTGTTCTCTTTGGTAACTACAGGCTATATGAAATTCTGAATAAAATGTTATATAATTTGTATGCTGGTTCTTTAATCTGCACCCTGTCACCTATCTTCCTTCACGCCACCTCTGCTTTCTCTTTCTGTCCACATGTCTACAGCTGGGTGGCAAAGCGTTGAAGTGACAGTCAGACGCTGTTCACACCTAGCACTTTCGTCCACGCTCAGCAGGCACTGAGACGAGACAGAGATGCTGATGTCTGGGACGCTCCCTCGCCTCCTCCTGGCGGGCACCTGTCTCTGTGTCTACGGGACCCCCGTCCACCTCCAGAGCTACACCAGCGACTGTGACGGAAAGTGTGGCAGCTCGGCAACATTCGTTGTATCAACGCACGCCACAGATAAAGAGCCCACACAACATGTGACTGGCCTGGTTTTAAATGTAGAAGGAGGCGCTGGCCCACATGCACGACCTGAGCGGAGAGCTTCGGTGACGCAGACTGAAAACGGGGACAGCCTCGATGGAAGATCTGGGCCGAGCGAGGCTGGAGGAGAGGCACGGAGCCAAAGGAGCAGGGTAAAGAAGGACGGGAGCTCGTCTGAGATGGGGGACGGGAGCAGACAGTCGGCTTCAGGGCTGTCTGCTGATCCACACGGTGGGAAGGTGCCTGTGTCCGATCCTACAGGTGGGACGGAGCAGGTGGACTCAGCAGTGAGGTCAGCAAGGTCGACTCCAGATGGATTTTCATCCTCCTTCACAACGCCATCACAGCTGGGCATCACATCCAGGCAGGTCAGAGACCAAAGTGAGGAGGACTGGTCCAAAGTACCTGGTGATTCTCTGGAGGACTCGGAAACAAGCTTGCCATCCTCTACAGAACCTCCAAACTCTGGATTATGGATCCAGAAACTGACCTCCCGCAGTCCCATCCCTCCCTCTGTCTTTGCCTCCCCTCAAACCTACACACATTTGTCAATTTGGGGTCATAATGGAGCTACAATGTCCTCCCTTCCAGACCCCTTGTTACCTGAACTGGGACCAAACCTGATGCCCAGAGAGGATGGACCTGAGAGCCTGTGGACTGAGGCAGCAAGGCCCGGGGATGGTAAGTGTGAAATATTAGAAAAGCATAATTAATGTTGATGTGAAATTGACTTTTTTGGAGGGTAAAGCTTTCTGTTCTATTATTCAAATTGGGTGCACAAGGACACAAACTCCTACGTTTAAGGGAATGCTCTGCAGTCATTGTCTGACTTTCTTCCACAGCGAGTTTTATTTCTTGGCTTTGCTGCAGTTTGCGAGGTTTCAGGAGGATTCATTAAAGCGGAAATTAAAACGACACGTCTCGTGGCAAAGATTGCCTTTGATGATTGGCGAAGAAAGGCGCCCGGCTTTTCCACGCTCCACTTTGAACCCCAGCTGGGACCCGTGGCAAACTAATTACTTTCTATTCCTGACTCGAGCCTGGAAAGAAAAAAAACAGAACACACACAACTGCCATGAAAGGGCTGGTGGCAGGGTGTGTTATACAAGTCTTTGGAGGATTCACCACTCTCTCTCTCTCTCTCTCTCTCTCTCTCTCTCTATCTGTTTACCCCCTCGAACCTCCGCTCTTTCTTCCCCCCCCCCCTTCACACTCCCCCATCCAGGCTATTGTAGAGAAACAGGCAGGTTATTATTCATGGAGGCAGAATAGGGAAATGGATTAAAGGAGTCTGTCTGAGCCAGTTCCTTCCGTCCATTCGGGGATCGGCTGTTTGATGAAGCTTCCTCCCAGCAGAGAGGAAGCTGACACAAAAAAAACTCAATTCCCAAAACAGCGTTATGTAAAAGGATTGCGGTCTTTATAAGCATTTTTCAGCCTACTTTAGAAACACTTTAGACTAAAGGAAATGTCTGAGAGATATGCGGTAGCAGTTTCTCCTGTGACAGCTCGCTCTCTGTGGTCTCTTATCTAGAGAGAACGTTATATTCTCCTTTCATTGTGTCTTAGCTGTTAACTCAAATGCAAGTGCTTTTGAATGAGAAAACCACATGACCAGGAGCTTCATTCTGTCATTAATACTTCAGTGCTGCTATGTGTGCTGAATACACTTTCTGCTTTGCAGTAGAAAATATATGTATTTATTTGAGCTGTCAGCTTTGTAAAGAAACTCATTCAGGTGGCCTACTTTTCTCACTGAATTGAGCATAATCACAAGAACATAGACTTTCAGACTGCTGTGTTTGACTGACTTTTACCAGAAGGTCCAAACAAATGCTCTTTCTATTTAGATTTGGATCCCCATTTCACTCAATACAATAAAGGCACTGCCCCAAGAAAATATATAAATCTTAACAAGGCTTACATCTCCTCATTTAAGAGAACCGTGTTACCTCTAGTGACTGTATGAGGGGCAAAGGAACACACAATGGAGTTTATTCCGAACAACACCAAGATCACAAATAATAAATAAACCATGATCCTCAGGAAAACCTCAATTTCTATCTATCTTGGCAAGGCAAGGCAAGGCAAGGCAAGGCAAGGCAAGGCAAGGCAAGGCAAGGCAAGGCAAGGCAAGGCAAGGCAAGGCAAGGCAAGGCAAGGCAAGGCAAGGCAAGGCAAGGCAAGGCAAGGCAAGGCAAGGCAAGGCAAGGCAAGGCAAGGCAAGGCAAGGCAAGTTTATTTATATAGCACCTTTCAACACAAGGCAATTCAAAGTGCTTTACAAAAATGGAAGACATTAAGAAAATGGCATTTAAAATCAGTCATTCAAAATAAAAGATAATAAAATAAACATTAAAAGAAAAAATACATGAATAAAAGTTACAGTGCAGTTTAAGATGTGAATAGTTCAATTAAAAGCAGCGGCAAAAAGAAAAGTCTTCAGCCTGGATTTAAAAGTAGTAAGAGTTGCAGCGGACCTGCAGGTTTCTGGGAGTTTGTTCCAGATATTTGGAGCATAATAACTGAATGCTGCTTCTCCATGTTTAGTTCTGACTCTGGGGACAGAAAGCTGACCAGTCCCTGAAGACCTGAGAGTTCTGGATGGTTCATAATTTAGCAGTAGGTCAGACATGTATTTTGGGCCTAAACCATTCAATGCTTTATAAACCAGCAGCAGTATTTTGAAATCTATTCTTTGACACACAGGAAGCCAGTGTAAGGACTTCAGAACAGGAGTGATGTGATCCACTTTCTTAGTGTTAGTGAGGACTCGAGCAGCGGCGTTCTGAATTAGCTGCAGCTTTCTAATAGATGTTTTAGTGAGACCTGTAAAGACACCATTACAGTAGTCCAGTCTACTGAAGATAAAAGCATGGACAAGTTTTTCCAAATCCTGTTGTGACATTAGTCTTTTAATCCTAGTTATGTTCTTTAGGTGATAGTAGGCTGATTTAGTAACTGTTTTAATGTGACTGTTGAAACTCAGGTCAGAGTCCATGACTACACCTAGAGTTCTGGCTTTATCTGTTGTTTTGAACATTGCAGACTGAAGCTCAGCGCTAAATTTATACGTTCTGCCTTGGCTCCAAAAACCATTACCTCTGTTTTATCTTTGTTTAATTGGAGAAAGTTCTGACACATCCAGTCATGCACCTTGCACCTGAACATATCCTGACTCTCATTCTGTCTTTCTTGTGTTTACAGTGGACACTGTGGTCCCGCCCTCTGAGGACGAGGCCACTGAGGGCACCATGTCTTCAGAGGCTCTCCCTCTCATCTTCGAGCCTTTCGAAGATGTGACAGCGGAGGGGGGGGCAGCAGAGGCCGTGGCAGCGGTCACCGCGGTGCCCGGCAGCGCTCAGCCTCCTGCTGCCATGGCGACAGGAGGAATGCATCAGGTAGATCTGGACCAGCTGGTCACCGTGGAGACAGACAGCGACGGTCCCTCACACGCCCTGCCACTGCTGATGCCAGACTGGACGTCATCGTGGCAGGCGTCCGGCGGGGAGCTGCTGGAGCCAATCGGATCCTTGGGACCGTCTGTCTCAGAGCGGAGGGGCGGAGCCGAGGATCAAACTGAGAGAGGTGATGTGGCAGCATGGATGAATGAATGTCAACACAAGGAGCTTTTTGTCCTACAAGTCACATGTACTTCACATTAGTGTCAACCATTTTTCAAAGAACAGTATGGGTCATTGTGTAAATGTGATGGAGCAACTAATTCCAGGAACTGTTTTTTCAAATATCTTGCTGAATTTTAGTTTTTTTATTTCATTTTTTATTCAACCTTTATTTACTAATACTAATCATTATAACTCATTCTTATGTGCCTTTTATCCTGCAGGGGTTGTTGCATTTTAACATAGAATTATGGGGCAACAGTACACCTTGCTTGTGCATCAACATTATTTTGAAAAAGAAAAGTAATAGTAAATATATTTTGTTGTTGAAGTTATTGAAATATGTTTTCCCCCTCTAGGCAACCTCTGGCCTGAATTCATGTGATCTTGAAGAGACTTGATTTTGCTTGAGAATGTATTTCTCCGACAGTTAATTTCATTGAATCACTGAAACAGAAGAAATACTGCACATGCAATATAAGGCATCTTGTACAACAGATTATTAGATGTTAAAATAGCTGTAACAAAGTGTATGCATGTGTGTGTGTGTGTGTGTGTGTGTGTGTGTGTTCGGTCCACGTGCTTCCCGGCGTGTAGGTGATGTGAGGACAGCAAACCTTGAGGAGAACTTGCCCACCACCGACCCCTCCTTCTCATCCCTCCAGCATGCTATGACAACGGTATCCATGGCAACCCATCATCCGGTGCACAAATCCAGATCAGGGTTAGAGGAGATGGAGTCTGAGGGTAAGACAAGTTTTATTGCCAACTGCAAAAAAACAATTTCATTAAAAAGAAATAGGTTTTTCATAAATGTCATCCTTTTTCGTGGCCACTGAGTAGCTCTTTTTTGTTATCTCACACAGAGGAGACAGATGAAGAGGATGAGGATGAGAACTCTGAGGAATCGATCGAGGATGACAGCGAGGAGGACCTAACAGAGACACCTAAAACCTTCTCAACGAGGCTTCCGTACAGCCTCATCCCTCCACCTCCTCTCTGGGTCCAACGCAACCAGGGGCTGAGTAAGAGAACATGGTTTCTAAATCATCTTTACATAAGCTATGGAAATAACAGAACATATTCAATGGTCATACCTTCACTTGCAGTCATCATACATGCATCACAATCATTTGAAATACATTTATGAAAAATAACAAGTGCTATATCTGTCTCTTTTCTCACAGTGCGGAGCTGGTTAGAGTTGATCAGAGAAAAGGTAAGACTGCCCCCTGCTGCCGCTAAAAAGTCTTGGTCGTCCATCAAATAATGTCTGTTTTATTCGCTCCATTATAAGTGCTGTTATGGATAAATCTGGTAATATTCTCTACCTTTACAGTTTTATATGTTAGGGGATTTATTTGAGTTTATAGAGAAGGATTGCCAGGATTAGACTTTGTTTACAATTCCGTTTAGCAATTTTGTCTTTATGCTCTGCAGGCGGGTTATGTGTCCGGGATGTTGGCCCCTGTGGGCATAGGCATCACTGGGGCCCTGTTAATCGTCTGCGCCCTCTACAGCATCAGGATGATTCACAGCTTCAAACACCAGAGGAGGAAGGTCAGGCAGCAAGAGGTCAGTTCCACCAACAACCTAAGTTCATTGAACTTACTTAAGCCATTAGTGGAAATGACTGACAGTGAAACAACCAAAGTAGCTTAACCTTGGAAAACAAAATGCTTTGTGCCCTGTCACCTGTTTCCTGGAAAACAGAAACGTTGCTACAGCAGCAAAACAATAATACTTGTGCTTATTGAAGTGGAACAAATATTACATGTACTCCCCTAAATCACTTCTTATTCATCTATATTTCTGTTACAGCAGTTTTTTGGGGGGTCTTTTATAGATAGATTTACGGTGTTGGTAAAAGAGTAGCGTAATGTGTGCCTAGCAAGTGTTTGGTGTGACAAAGTGATGGTGATTGGGCTCAGAGCATACAGGCAGCGTGTGAGACGTGTCCTTGTGGTTTACTTGAGTAAAAGCTCACTTCAACACCGACCACTTGCAAACTCTATCGGGAAGAAATGTTGTCTATGCAACTTTTAATTTTCATTTCAACTCCCCAGCAACCTCGAGAGCCGGGGACCAGCCGTCAGGACCAGGCCATGCTGCTGGCTGATAGCTCTGAAGATGAGTTCTGATGAGACCCTGCTGGGCTCTTTTTGTCGGTGACCAATAGCTGATGCTCCTGTAATGGAGGCTCAGCAAACAACCCCATCACTATGACTACAGCATCTCCCATCACCCTGGGCTGTTTGGCTATGACTCATCTGATCCACAGAGTGTGACTGAGTAGAGGACACAATTTGCACAGGCTGCACAAAGTTCCGCTTTGTATCCCACCACTTCTAAAAGAACCAATGTGAGCACTTTTCTGAATGTTGTCAGGTGATGTTGACTCTAATGGCTTGGCAAGGCTGGCGTGATGTACTTCAACATAAAAGATTATATTGATGCTTCTAAAAAAAATGCATCAGCAGGGTAATGGCAGGATTATAGTGTTGCTGATAAATTGTTGGAGTTGAGAGGCAAAATGTGGACCAGCAGGATTTCTGTCAAGCAGTGAAAAAGGGCTGTAGAAGAGATACATCACATCAACAATGTAGGCCTACATATATTTACCGTATATGTAACTGACTTGGGGTCAGTTGTTTGAGTGTAAATACATTTGTATTTCTTGCTAAATGTGGATATTTATATTATTCAACAGTTTGTTTAATATGCTTATTTGTTTTTTTTTGCCAATAGTTAGATGACAAGAATGATAGCACTCTCAAATCTCAGTTAGCTGGAGCTAGCAGCCGGTTAGCCTAGCATGAAGAATGGAGGGAAACAGCTAGCTTTGCCCCTGTTCAACAAACTAAACCTTTTAAAACTCATTTTGGTTTGTTTAACACATATCAGAAAATAAGTGTTAAATTGATAAGTTGCTGTGGAAACGTGTCAAACATTTATTCGGCTTAGAGCAGTGACTGCCTGGAGTCTATACCTTACAACTGCTAGCTGCTAACCGGTATCCAGATTTTATAACATTTCAACAGAACCAGGCTTGCTGTTTCCAGCTTTCATGCTAAATTCACCAATTCCTGGATGAAACATAGCTTCATATTTAACACATTGGTAACTACATTTTCATCAAACTATATACAAAAAAATGAATAAGCATGTTTCCCAAAATGTTTAAGTATTGCCTTAAACCAAATGTTCCACACATTTCAGATACCTTTACATATAATTAATTGCTTCATTTAAATGTACATTTTCTGGATTTGTTTTAAATCTATTGTTCAAAAGCATTTGTTCACACCCTTTATATATACAGTCTATGGTTCACACACACACACACACACACAGCTAATTTTAACATCTAATAATCTGTAGTACAAGATACCATTGTCCCTCAAAAATATGAGGCATAAAACCTCCCCCCCATCAATATGAGGCATAAAACCTCCCCCCATCAATATGAATTCATCGTTTTTGCAATTTGCAAAAAGTGTTTTTAAGTGCATGACTATTAAGTCTGTTCATACACAGCCCTGTTGCAGTGACTTTAATTATAATGAATGAAGGGTTTATGTTGGCTGGAAAAGCACAAACATTGAAGACACTGGGGCAGAAGTTCATATTTTCACAAGTTAATTAAAAGATAATTTTTCAGTAGCCTACTTGTGTGGTTATCTGCTTCAGAGAAGGGCAGACAAAGACATTTTGACAAACATGTCTGCCCCATGAATTTTAGATTTCTGTTATCAACTATGTAAGCAAATACAGTTCTTGAGTTTGGAAGAAAACAGGAAATTGTTAATAAAAAACCTTTCTGCTATAGTTCAGACAGTACGTATTTCAAAACACTCATCCGAGCCATGTTTTTCACGACATTAATACATAGTGCTGTCTTTTGTTCAAAAGGAAAATATTTTCAGTAATTTCAGTCCTGATATGCTTAATGTACAACTGCCTGTTAATATGCAATAATACTGTTTTAGGGTAAGTGTGATGTAAAATAGTGGAAACTTTTTTCTCTGTGTAAATAATTCAACATGTGATCAAATAAACAATTCTTTAAGATGTCTTATTTCAACTCTCTTATGATGTAGCTAAAGTGTGAACTATGTTTTAAATGGAAACCACTTCAGACAGCAGACATGACCCAGTTTACAGCATTAAAAAAATCAAATAATTTATTTCTGTGTTCTTTTTCCACATTAAATAAAAGCTATCGGACATTTCCAGATCAAAATCAAGAGAGGGGACAGGGAAGAGGAACTGGGGGAACAGAAATCTGACATGCAAAAAAACCTTTTGTTCTCCCCTTTGCACACTCCGTAGATGGCGTTGGAGGCGTAGCTGGCCGCCCCGAAAAGACTGCAGGAAGCCTCTGTGGTTGGTTGGTTGGTTGCAGGAACACAGCTTTTTGTGGTGCAGCATGACAGCCAAGACACATTTTCTTTATCCGACCCGCAAACTGGTTACTGGGAAATGTATAATTGTAACACTAGAAATGTAGGATAGGCAGATGTCGCCCCAGGTGAGCAGAGAATTGGGCGTGTGATTGTTAGAGTAAGCTACCTGAAAAGCACAGCGGACGTCCAGGAGGAGTAAAGAAAACTGCCTCTGACATCTGTGAACACTGAACTGGCATTGTAAAGTCAAAAACTTTTTTCCCAAATGCATTGTCATTAAAACACAGCAGGCCTGATATTGATGACGAAGCCCTTCAGTCTGTGATGAGCTAAACTGAGCGCTTTGGCTCTTTGTGACAGGCTGTAATGCCCATATGGAACTGCCAGAGTTTCACAGGAGTAAAGCAAAAAAAAAAAAAAGATAACACTTTTCCTTCGACATCTAAAACATCTCCTCGTACTGACAGCTGGTTTTAAGAACAGACAGGTTCCTTTTGTACCTATCATGTCCCTTCGTCTATCACTGTCACTGTATAAAAGAAGAGAAAGGGCAAGGGAAGTGAGAGAACACATGAGGGGAGACAAATGTCCAACACAGGGACACGTTATACCTCCAAAATAAACCAGGAGTTTACACAGGGTGATCATTTAAATTTAAAGAGTGTCAGATGAGCAGTAAAGATAATAGTTTGTGTTCACGGTGTAGAGTGTTTTTTTGTATGCCCACTGTGAATCGCTCATAGTCCTCGTTAAGCCTCTGGATGGGCTAAAGTAGCACAGAAATTAAAAATAAAAATCACAATCGGATAAATCAACCCAAACCGCCCCCTTCCCAACAGATGATTCACCCAAAAAAAAAACATGCTTTCAATATATCCGAGGAATAGAACAACACTCGTATACAAATCTGAAAAACAAACAAAAATAGGTCTGGTCTGTTCTAAATGCACACAGACACAAACGTACATACACAGGCTGTTATGGGGGTGGCGACTCTGTAAACATCTACTTCAGTCTGAAGGAAAATAATCCCGAAATATGAACAAGGTCCTGTAGTGTCATTCATGGAGACTAGCTATCAAATAATTTATACATCCAACTACCACAAATGTTTGCTGGAGACTTTGATCTGTAGTCAATATTTTGGAGCAGATTTGATTCTGAATGCGCCCCAAGGCAGTGTCCTGCATTGAATATTGTAGACAGCATAAAAGCATGCAATGTCCGATTGCATAATTTGAAGTTTTCTTAATTTAAAAACCTGTAACGCAGGTTGTTTTCCAAAATATCTAAGCTGATTTAGGGTTTATCCTCTCTTCAACCAAACAGTCTCCAGTCTTTCCACCACATTGAGCACTTACTCGTATCCTTGAAAGTAAAAAAAAAAAAAAAGTCTGCCTTTTCTTCTTCTTTCCTGTTGTCCTTGAAACAAAACACAGCACCAAAGGCTCCGATTTAGAAACTAGAGAAATAAAAGTCTAACAGAACCACGCCATTGTCAAAATAACAGGACACACAAGACACATTCGTACTACGTACACATACACACTGCAGCAATTTCCAAAGAAGTGCATCTGACCTTTGTTCATATTTACTTTTAAGAAAAGAAAAAACACAAAAGCGGATGAAGCCAACTGTCTTAATTAGTGTGGATTGGAGCGTCCTGGTGCAACTAAGTCTCAGGTCGGAGATCTTAAATGTTAGCGAGGTTGGTTGTGCATCGAGTTAGAGCACCTGGTGCATTGAGGACTCAGCCGCTGATGAGCAGCATGAGGTTAAACAGGTGTACGCTAGACAATCTAAACAAACTGAAAGCAAACATAGAATAAAATATAATCTGCTAAGAATACTTGTCTATTTTCCTTTTCTTTTTTTTGTATCGAGAGATAAACACACACAGCATACTCATGCATTCCAGCATATGTAACACTTCGCCTCCGGTCTGGTGCCGAGTGCAGACGCAGAAGTGTCGAGGCTGAGTGTGTGACGCCTGTTAGCAGGCTGAGCTGAGGCTGAGAGTGCTGATGGATTGAGTGGCACTTGCAATAAGGAGGAACAGGCGGATATAATCTTTAAAAAAGGAGTCAACTATTCTATTTCAAAGACTCCTTTTGGGGGATTTTGCAGCAGCTGGCAGTGCATTTAGGGGAAACAAGTTCTGTTCTAATAGGAAGAAAAAATCTAAATTCCTCACCCATACAGTCAGGTTTGATGAGAGATTTAGTGAAAGGTATAGAAGCAAAAACGGTAGCAAATTCACCAGTTGGGAAAAGTTTGAGGTGCTAATGGAGTGATTTGTTTCGATCAACTGCTCTACAGCAACATACTTACACCAAACACAGGAAGGGGGTTCGGTGGGTTTAGCTCAAACTGGGTAAATCAACACACACTCTTCACACTTTTTCCGCCGCACTCACTTTAAAATAAATGCATGCATATCTTTACAGGCTTCAGTCCAGGGGGCTGAGGCAGGTGATGGGAACAAAAAACAAGAACGCACAGTTCTAACCGAAGCATGCGCTCACACAGTCACACAACACGGTCACTTGCTCACTGTGAAACCACACATGAAAACAAGCCAAACACTCCAAAAGAAAAAAACACGAGGCGGTACAAACACACAGTCATACTATAGCTTTTACCCCGTCCAACTCACAAGGTTAAAAAAGGAACACAAAAAGAAACTCAAACAAATATTTTCTTTTCCCAGTCTGTTTTTCACCACCCCGCTTCCTGGTGTCACTTGTTGTTTCCTTTGAAGTCTGTGTTTGTCCCATGTTCTGTAGGAGGATCTGCTGCGGTGCCGTGTCCTATTGAGGGTTCGGACGAATGTCCTCACTTCAGCTGCCTCGCAACTCGGTACATAGCATCCAAGCTTGAAGGTCAAAAGGTCACCCTCGCTCACCGCCCCTCCTCTGGCCCATTAGGTGGGATGTCAATCGGGTTCGCCCTCGACAACGGTTGTTCGGAGGTCAAGGACAAAAAGAGGGTGTGTCTGCGTGTCTATGCATACCTATGTGCAAAATGTTGTACACAGGTGTGTGTGTGTGTGTGTGTGTGTGTGTGTGTGTGTGTGTGTGTGTGTGTGTGTGTGTGTGTGTGTGTGTGTGTGTGTGTGTGTGTGTGTGTGTGTGTGTGTGTGTGTGTGTGTGTGTGTGTGTGTGTGTGTGTGTGTGTGTATGTATAAGAGTGAAATGACCAGGGCAGAGCTGAGGCTGTTGAGCCGATAGCGTACGAGGTGTCCCGTCCTCCCCTGTCCCCTCCTCTTTTCTCTAGCGGAGCCACAGTTTGAGCCGCAGCGCGTCCACTCCGTTTAGGTAGTATCTGAACAGCCGCTTGTCTCTGACAAAACCCAAGTTCTCGTACAGCTTCAGGGCTGATTTGTTGGTGATTTCAGTCTCCAAAACAACCTGGGGACACACAGAGGGCCATAGAGACACATTATTGTAACCGGGTAAAGAAATATATGTCAGATAGTCATAATTAAACCATCAAACCATCATTTTTTGTAATTGATGAATCTGCTGATTAATTTCTATATGTGGTGATTACTCGTCTGTTCTAAAAAATGCCAGAAAATTGTGAAAAATGTCCTTCTCAGTTTATCAAAGTCTAAGGCGAGGTCTTTAAATGTCTTATTTCTGTTGTCAGTCAAAAACCCAAAATATTAATGTTAATATTTCTTAATGGGCAAGAAATGTTTTTGTCAAATTTGTCTAAATATTCTATAAACCTAAGCGCAATCACTATATCAAATGTGTTAAAGGGGTCCTATAAGATAAGATAAGATGGTACTTTATTGATCTCAATTTGGGAAATTGGGCATTTTACAATAAAACAAAACAAAAAAATAAACAAGAAATAAACAAGAATAGAAAGAAAAGAAAATAAAATAGAAAATATACATGTTGAATTTGACAAGATATTATATATACAAATATATATATACATAAATATATGACATGGAATATTAATATTAAATATTCCACAATATTATACTCACATCAGGTTCAAAATTGTATGTAATGTTTAAAAAAGGTATTTATTTTTCTCATGTTGCCTGTGCTGCAGCCCATTTAGCTTTTGCAGACTTTTAACATTCACAAAAACCTCTATAGCACACTACAGGAAAGGGAAAAACGGCCCAAAAAGCACAATAGGGCCTCTTTAAGTTGAAGTAATAAGTCAAAGTTAAAGTCATTAGAGTATTTTCTTTACTTCCAAACATATAGTAGTTTCGATTTACAAAGTGATCTCCACCTACAGTAACATTTTGTCAAAGATATGTCATAATAACATTGTAATGCATTTGCAAGAGGGGATGGGTAAGCCATCTTTTTCTGTATGTGTGTTGTAAAGGTTTGCTGTCAACATCATAGCATTTACAAGCAAAGCAGTTTGGAAATTAAACTCAAATTGTATTTGGTAGTGTAATATATTTGCCTATGAGCACTTGAGAGCAAAAACAAAGCCTCAAACCAATGGAGCCTCGCTGGGAGGTTAAACCTGCCAGGCTCCATGGGTCAGTCTTTAGTGAATTGATGCACTTTAGTCAGTGATAAGGAAACCTGTAAAACCATCGGTTCCTGTATGTCTGTATGTTTTGTTGGGATCTATACAGATAAAAACCTGCTGATACACAAGCACCAAAGCTGAGAACATCGCAGCTTGTAACCCAGGCAAAGCGGTTGCAGTTTCTATAAAAATGTGTACTTGTGTTTACACTGACACAAAAATCATCACTGTGGTGAATCATCATCAGTGCTTTGGTCTCAGCTTACAAAGAGATCAGGGTAAGTTTAATACAGAGTCTCATTTCCATTTCAAACACATGCCATTTCTGGAGACTTCACTTGTTTTGTATGCGTCTGTAAGAGGCAGTGAGTCAGTATTTAGAGAGAAGCAGAGCAACATGGAAGTTACTGAAGGGATCAGAGTACCTAAAAGTCAATCCAAGGTTACCAACTTAAAGGAGTGAAGGACGGGGAAAGAAAAACTAGTCCTTGAAAAACGAGAAGCCAACTTTTCTTTCGGTTTATGCTTGCATAGAGGCTTTGGAGGCAAACAAAAACAAAAAAGGTCCACATGGTTGTATTTAGTGATTATTAAATCTTTGGTTGTATTGATTGTATTTTCTGTAAATCTGATTTGGTAAATGCCAGACTGTCCTCTAGCACAGAGCTTCCTAAACTGGGTGTCGCCAAAGCTTACAGGGGGATGTGAGAAATTCTTGATTACTTAAAATAACAGGAAATCTGATCTGATGCAATTTTCACAGGAAGAATTGTACTTAAAATCCAAATTACTCGTTTAACACAAACTACCTGAAGTTTTTGGATTAACTGTACAGTTGAATATAATATACATTTCCATAAAGTCTGTCACCCAAAGCATTAGACATGGGACTTTAATCACTGACAGAAAAGGGGTCCCTTTAGATGAAAAGGTTGAGAACCAATGCTCTAGTCATGTAACACTGTGAGTGAAAACACTGACACACAGAATTTGAACCTGTGCCAATGTGAGACATCAAGCCTGCGCATGTCAGACCAAAGTCTGTTTCAAGCTATTTTCTGGATGTTGTATATGGTTTGAAAAAAAGAAAGACATGTCAATTAATAGAGACTTCCTCCAGTGAGAATGGTTTAATATATTTTACCTCGTCACAGTCACCCTCCACCATGGCATAGATGGCCTTCTTCACCAGATTAGTACCTTAAACAAAAGGAGTCAAAGTCAGTTAGGACACTCAACAAACACAAGGTTTCAAGAAAACACAAACATTTTTATCTGGCTTGACATCTGGTAGTATAAGAGGGTCAAAAGGTAAAAATGTCCCTTAAGTAGGGATGGGTATCGTTTGACATTTATCGATTCCGATTCCGGTTCTGCTTATCGATTCCGGTTCTTATCGATTCCCTGCTTCGATTCCAAAATGGTAAAAGAAAGAGGTCAAACGTTTAAATAACAAAAATATCTTTATTCTTTTAAGCTTTAACTGACATTTTTACAAATAAAAAATATACATGCAATACAAATGTATTGCACAATAGCTGTGCTTTATTTTAACTGAGCTATGCTTGAGGCAAGCTATTAACAGGCATTACACTGTGTCTTGTCTTTTTCTTTTTTAGTGTAGTGGAGCCTCACTTTAGAGCGTTTACCGCGATCCATCTTTGGTGTTATGAAGTGACTGAGCTCGTGAACCGTCTACGGGAGGGCGGGGGGAGCCTCGCTGCGGGGAAACTGTGGACCTCTGTCGCCTGTCAGCGCAACTTACATGATGCCGTTTAAACAAATTAAGGGCGGTGCCGGCCGTCAGCGTACCGAGCCGGCCGTCTACGCCCCGCTGACGACCGGCCGTTCTGTGATTCTCCAGAACACACAGATGGCCAGTCTGCCCCTGTATTCCACCGGGTCATCGCGGCGCAGACGGACCCGGTGGAATACAGGGTCTACCGCGTTTAGGAACCGTTAAGCAGAACCGAAATTGTGTATTTTGTATGGGTACCCGGCATTTTCTTATCGGTTCTCATCTGGAAACGAGTTTCAGTTCCCAACCCTACCCTTAAGGTTAAAGTATAGTGCACCTCAACTACCTATCTAAATAGTGCATTTGCATCAGAGGATTTGGTTGTCAAAGAATGCACCAAAGAGGCTATGGTACAGCTTGTTCTCGGCTCCGCAATGTGAAAGTAAAGACTTTTATTATGTTTGTGCCATGCAGAGTCCAAATCTTACCGATGCTTTTCCTTCTGTGTTTCGAGTCCACGGCCAGCATGGCGATGTAGCCACGACGGAACATCTTCTTGTGCATGTCAAGCTTACATACGATGGCTCCGACACACTCCTGCTCCACCATGGCCTGTGACAGACACACACAAAAGTCACATCCATAGTTGATGAAAGCCAAGCAATAATTCCTGTCCTCTTGCCAGTTCTGCTGGTTCCCTGATCTGACCTTTGACCTGTTTTTCAAGGCACTTCCTCTTGTGTTACATGTTTCGTTCCGGACAAACTGGAACTGGGAAGTTTACGACCTTGACGCTCAGAGGATAAACAAAGAATGGACAGTGTTTGGCACCAACAAAAACCTGACTGGACATGGTAGGCGGGAGAGAAAACACCTACGTAAAGCATATTTTCCTCTACTTTAACTGAAAGGCAAGGATTTTAAACCTTTGCTTGCTCCTAAACTCACGAAGACCCTTACCCTAGTGAAGATATATAAGGGATATTGTCATGTCAGTTCAAATAACCTTGAATTGACAGCTATAAATTCCAACTAACATCCATAAATCTAACAAGGATCAAGGCTTTGTGACATTAAAGTAGGTGTTGTAGCTCCGAACAGATACAATACAACTTCCAAACCAACATGCTGTCAGTGACACGTCTACTTATGTAAGTTTAAGCTTAGTGTATATCAGCACTGTGTTTGGCTGCAGTTGAGTCACACTGACAGGTGATGGAAAGCTATAAGTATGCAGTCACGCCCAGCCTAAATAATGCTATTCACCTTTAGGTAGCCAAAGGGATAAGAGGGTAGCTAACGCATTATGACAAACATTAAAGGATGAATATCAGCATTTCTTAATGTTTCAGTGTCTTTACTCACCAGAAAGCAGAGCTGCGGCCAGTTGTGAATGAAGTACCTGTAGGTGTAAATTGAATAAGGCTCAGACAAGTCCTTTGTGATCAGTCTCATGATCCACGGCATCTGCAGCTCGGACTCGTAGCGGACATAGCAGATGCCGTGGCTGTCCTCCTCCGCTCGGCCGGGGGAGCCGCTCAGGGCGAGCCGGGCGAGCTCCGCGATCGGCGGCTGCAGCTCCTGCGAGGCGGCGTGGCTGTGCTCGGGCCCGGCGTCCGGCGGCTTGTCGCTCGGCGGTCTCGGTGGCTCCGTGAGGTCAAGCTCCTCTTTCCCTTCGTCCCCGGGGTGGCTGTGGGCTGTCTCAGTTCTTATCAAACCCGGCATCCCGTTCATGCTATTGTTAACTAGGGGCGAGTGACTGCCGTTTTTGGAGATGGGGCTGTGGCCTTCATGTTGGCAATGCTCACTATTGTTTCTCGCGGTTGAAGCCTCCTCGTTGCTGCCGCTGCTGCTGCTGCTGTCACAATTGTCCACGGACGGTCTCGGGTTGTCAGGCCGGTTTCCTGTGTGCTGGTGGCTGTCCGCGTCCTCTGAGGAGCCGGACAAGCCGTTTAGCTGCTGCTCTCGAGCTTGCATTTTGAGGTGAAGTGCCGCCGGGCTAGCTCGCGCTAGCATGTTATTTTGCTTCTTATTAACCGACCTAATGACTTCGCTTAGCGGTTCTGACGTATTCCCTGTACCGGTGGGTAAACAGTCGTCTCTGTGGCAGGCCGCCTCTCCGTCTCCCCCCGCCGGCTCCGCGCTCCCAGCCCCGGGGAAAGGAGGACTCTCGGCCGGGGTTGCGGGGAGAGCGCTACTAGGCCCAGGCGGCACTGTGGCCATCCCACCGCATTAAGGTGGAGATTCTCGCTTGGAAAACGTTGAACACAAGCTCATCCACAAGGCAAGGGGATAAACAATCAATATACGAGTTAGATCAACGAATATCGCATAAATCCAAGGATATTTGAGGCGATAACGTAACCGCTGGCGACGTTTGTCGCTGCTTTCTCCTCGATTTCCCTGCTGCCGGAAAGTGCTGTCGCAGCAAACGCCATTGCAACAGCAGACAGAGACGTTTTACGACAGTGGTGTAACGCATGACAGATGCAGGATTAGCTACTGTAACATAATTAAATACATTTAACTTCCCCTCTTCTGTCGTATTGGTTTTGTTGATGTCATTCGCATTTTCGTTCTATTGCATTGACAGAACATATACAATAGTAAATCATTGGAGCAGGGTCACGATTAGGATACAGAACATATTTTTTTATTTGATATAATGCCCTATAATATCTATTCCCCATGAAATTAAGACCTATAATCTTATTTGAAACCCGGAGAAAAATGGAAAATTCACAATTGATTGTGTAGTTTTCCTTCATAGAAGGCTTTTACTCAGCTAAATTATTTAATTATTTACAATTGGATTATAATTATTTTACGCTCCGTTGAAAGATATGTCAATGCATATACTACTGTGCTGTGCTTGACCAAATGATAGGGAAATTGCTTCAACAATTAAACTGTCTAAAATGTGATTTAGGAAGTTGGTTCAAAGCCCTGAAAATTCAAGAGTTGGTGAATCGTCTACTTTGTGCCAGCAGAGGACGCCAACTTCCCGATTTACGTTAATGTATCATTTTCTCCCATTTGTATCAACGCTGCAGTTTCTCCCCCAGATGTCGCTAGTGGATTATTTCCTTTCAGCTTTCTATGTTGTTCAACAGTAGCCTAGTCTCCACACTGTAAAGTACATGTTTGTTATAGGATCTATGCGTTTATTTCGAGTATGTATATGTCTTATTTCTAAAACTCCACTACTGTCTGGAAGTAAATCATTTTGAATTCAAAACCTACTAGGCTTATCTGACTGTACCTAGAGGTATCTGCAGGTTTAGTTTTAACCCCCAATACACACAGAAACAAATCGAAACCTTTTGAGGGCATTCATTTATCATCAGTTGAGTTTATACATTTCAGTGGCCCTTTCTGGCCAAGTAATTGTACATAAGTGAATACCTTTAGACATGGAGAGATGGAGAAATAGTACTAGTAATAAGAAATATTAAGTAAAATAAGATATACAATTCAAATAAAATAAATAAACTTAATAATAATATCAAAGAAAAAAAGAAAAGGGAGAAAATACATTTAAAGAGATACAAATATGTACTAAAAAAAGAAAGGAAAAAAAAACATTCGGGTGTATGTCTGTCCAGCAATAGTAAGCCTTGTGTGTGTCGTCCTTCCTCCCTATAGATGAAAGAAAAGCGGTTGATGTAAGGGGAACACGTTGGATTTTTTCAAATTACAGCTGTTTTGTATTTTTGGCAACAAAAACCTTAATTAAAAATCACAGGGAGGAAAGTTTACCTGCAGGGTTGTGTAGGCCATCCTAGGTGGGAGTGTTGCTGTCGTATCCTGAAGTGTGTCCATGTACTTATAGGTGAATTTAGACAAAAGTCATTGTTAAGTCAAATAATACTTCATTATTTCCTATTCATGCGAGATAAAACAATATGTCTAATGGACCATAGTGGGTATTACATTCTAAACATAGATAGATACATAGATACATAGATACATAGATAGATAGATAGATAGATGGATAGATAGATGGATAGATGGATAGATGTAAAAAGTGACGTCTTGATTAACCTGTGATACATCATATGGTAAGAGAGATGCTGAAAAAGACCACTTCCCCTCTATCTGTCCAACATTCCACTATCATGAACACACGTGTGTGTGATGATAAAGATAAATAGACAGTCCTATTTTGTTTGTCGATATATGTTACATGCAGGGAAACAGACGGAGAGATATAGACGGGGAGAGAGAGACGGCCCTTTTGAAAGCTAAGCCTTGGGGCTGAGAACTCTCTGAAGAGCTGGAATCAGACATGCACAATCAGTTCCCCTCTTCAAATCTCCTTTACAGGCCTATCTACTTGAACAGGCTTCTCTTAATTACTTTCTCTATCACTTAGCGAGCTGTGCCTGGGACTAGGAGCAGCAGCGGCGTCGTCTCCTTGCCAGAGACACTTGGCTGGTTTGAACCCATATTTATATATCTTCTTTCTCACAATCCTGTCCCGTACCTTCCTTTTCTTTCTCCCCTCCTCCTCCTCTTCCCGCTTTCTTCATCTCTTGTCTCTCTGAGGCTCTCTCCATCCTGCCTCTTACCCTTTTCCAAATATCTCCAGGGCATCAGTTGCGTCATGTGACTGGTGCGCTTGTGATTACAGAAGTTGGCAACCGTACCCATCAATGAGGAACCCAACATATCTTGAAAAACGACAGCGTGTAAAGAAGTATAAGGTCAGTTCTGGGATCAAAACAACGCAGGTTGACAATGACACCCAAACAACCTCCTTTAAATCTCTCTCCCCTTCTTCATGTGCGACTGAACAGGTCTCCGGGGCTGCAGGCCAAGCTTTGGATCTCCTTTTCTTTATTTTATTCTCCCCTTACTCCTGCCTGTCACAATGTCTCCCTCCGCTCACTTCCCTGTGTCCTCCTCCTCCTCCTTCTCCTTCTTTTCTGTCTGGCGTCTGGTCCACTAGAGCTGTATTTAATTAGTTTCTGTAGGGTTAATTAGGGGCTAAAGTTAGGGGGTCGGATCAGAACAAAAGCAGGTCATGCTGGACGGATGCAGGTGCTTTGGTGTGGTTGCCAGATTCCAGCGTTCAGATTAAGACGCCTGCAAATAGTCTCGAGAGAGAGTGAGGAATTCAAAGATTCAAATGTAGTTTGGATGTCATGTGCACATTGTTATTGGCAAGGAGCATCTCGAGTCCCAAGCTGCTCCAAGGAAAGAATGCAAGTGACCGGTGAATGGCAGCAAAAGGAGGTTTTCCATATGGTTGGAACAACATATTTTCTTTGCGTTTTCCACCCTATTTTCACACACTTTTCAGCTGACTTTCATGTCTTCCCCGTGTTATATGACACTGGCACACATCACACAAAGCTGATCTAATGTATGTTGGGTGCAAGTGATGTCTTGGCCGGGCTGTTTCCTCGTTGCCATAAAGGTGCTGTGTTCACTGTCGTATCGCTCCCAGCACTCAGTCCCCTTTTTTTCATCTACGAGGGGCAGCTATACCCTCTCCTCCTTCCTCTTTGTCGGTTGGCTGTGTAGAATGAGAAACATGTGAGCAGGACATCAAATGACCAAATCCAGGCAAGTGAGGTACACATAAGAAGAGCGCTTCGAGCCTGTGAAGCGTACATCAGTTGTTTCAATGCTTCAGTGATCACGTAAATGAAACAAAGGAAGAACAGTGGATGTGAGTGTAGAAAAGCTTGAGGCTACAGCACCTTGAAGGTTACTTATTGTGCTTTTGGCCTTAATTTACCATTTTGAAAACACATAAAAGTGCTTTTTTTATATCATTTCTGTGAACTGTGCACTTCGATTCAGACTCAGGTGCAACTTGATTCTAGAGAATGACGAGAAGAACCAAAAGAGACCGAATTTGACCTTTTCATCGGTCCTGTGGAGATGAAGAGGGACCAGATGAAGTGATATGGTTGGAGAGAGGAGGGAGAGGAGAGCAGAGGAGAGAGAGGGCATCTCTGGCATGGCTGGAGCCCCTCAGTGTGCGAGGGTCCTGGGGCCCTTTAGACAGGCGCCAGCCCAGCAGGGAAGCAGAGACAATCACGCAGCACCAGATCCAATGCACAGAGATGGAGGGATGGAGGGAGATGAGGAGACGCAGAGGGGAGCACTGAGGAGGGGAGGGGGGGGGGGGGTGCCGGGACAAAGTGCACCGTTGAGAAAAGGTGGAGGACACGACAAGGAGAAGAGGAGACATGTCCAGGTGGAGATGGAAAGAAGTGGCGAATGAAAGAGATGAATGAAGAGGCAGAAGACGGCAGATCAAGACAAGGTGAGGTGTAAAGGGAAGAAAGAGAAAGCTAGCGAGAGATAGCATATACTCCCTCTGTAACAGTCTTTATCACCAGCCCAGATCGTGGCGTATGAACAGGGATCCAAGTCAACCATCTGCTGAGGCTAGATAAGCCTGGGAGAGCTGGGTATTGAGCTGTCACTCAGGGAGGAGCGCAGAAAAAGAAAGAGAGGAGGGGAGAGAGAAACAGAAAAGAAATAAAGACAGAATGGGAGAGGGAGGGAGGGAGGGGTCTGCGCAAGGTAGGGGGAAATTCAAAGGAGAAGATTTGTGCAGACTGGAGAGCATCCGTCTTGTTAGAGAAAGTCTTAACGTCAAACAGACGTCCAGCCCTGTCCTGCCTAATCTTGAAATAATCCTTCAGCTAATGAGAAGAACAATACAACAAGGCTATTTATTGGTTTCCACTTTTATCCACCCACACACACACACACACACACACACGCACACACACACACACACACACACACACACACACACACACACACACACGCACACACACACACACACACACGTATACACACACGTCCACTCACATCATCAGTGCTCATCATGCTTCTGACATGAGGCTGTTTGTTGTTCATTTCCTGTCACTAGCATGCACACATACATGTCACAAGCTATAAGTACAGAACCAGGTTGTTTACACTTTGAATGTTCTTTAAATAACTCTATATTTCACAACACACACACAATCACATGTTATCATGGCAGAAAAGTGTGGGTGGGGGGGTTTGGTAAGACACCTCTGGTGGTGAGGATCCCCAAAGAGGAAGATGGGTTACTCGTTGATTAAGTTAAATCCCACTTAAACGTACCCCCCTAAACCACTTAATGCATAACTATGAATTTCATTATTATCATGTCTATGCGTGAGAAATAAAGTTGTTAAAAGTCTAACATTGATTGATATGGTTTGATTTGTGTAAGGATTTTACAATGTTGTGCTTTTTAAGATCTACATCAAATCCTAAACACTACATTTCTGTGATTTGGTTTATAAGGGGATTCGGTGGGGACGGGGGCACGAATTAAGGCCGGGAGGGGGGTCAGGCCCGGGAGTGGGGGATAGGAGGGGATTAGCCGAGGCCAGTTGGATCATTTTACAGCCAGAGGACCCCCCTTCACCCTCTGCAGTCTCCTGGACAATG